AATATGATCTGAAATGTTTGAATGAAACCAAAAGATTGTGAAAGCAAAAGATAAGATATTTTTCAGAATCTGGAGAGGATGTGGATATATATAGTGAGAAGCATGCCTTATACACAAAATAAAGGTGTGGATTGTTTGGTTTAATAAAAGAACATTGCGTTTGTGTTTTTGCGTTTGCCTTTTTGCATCTAAGATTTTGTTTTCATATATACATATGATTACTTTAAACTTTTATTTTTTTTTGAAAAACAATTACTTTAAGTTGTTGGTGTAATTTATTAAATTTGTTATTGCCTTTTTGAAAATAATAATAATAACGACTTGGTGCTTGTATATATATTTACATATACATAGAAAAAGATTTTTAAAAAATAATATGTGAAAAGTCATGCTTTTTTAGTAAGAACAACTAAACATAGCTCTATTTAGCAAATTTTTTATTTTACATTTATTGGTACAAAATCTAGATTTTCAAATCAAATCTCAAAGATTTTAATATTCTAATTTTATCATTTATTTTGATATCATAACATAAACTGTGCATTTTGAAACACTCATATTTTTAATAAGAAGATATAAAAATAGCTCAACTTAAAAAATTGTCTATATTACATTTATTTGTCCAAAATCTAGCTTTTCAAATAATGTAGCCAAAATTTCTTTTCTTTTTTGAAACTTTGAATATATTACAATTTTTCTAGTTTACTTGATATGCTCATAATTATATAAGATTTGTGTAATAGCCTAATAGGTATCGTTTATTTTTCTTAATTGAGATAAATTATCCATTTATAAATGAGAATATGAATATGTATTTATAAATATCATAATAAGGAGATATGACAAATGTTAAATTTTAAGCAATTTTGAGGATCTACAAAATTTAATGTAATGTTCAATTTTTTTTTCCAACCGTTCATTTTATTAAAATAAATCTCAACCATTGGTATCCAATATGGTGGTTGTTACATACGAATAAAAAATCAATCAACTTTTAACGGTCTGATCAGACCAAACAGTCAGTTTTACCATTACAATAACGTGGAATTAATGATAATGAAAGCATGGGAAACTTAGTACAGAACCCACCAAAAATATCCAACGGAATAGAAAAGGCGGGCCACAATTCTGGAAACTGAGTCAAACTTTGAACAATCCGTCTTGAAAGCTTGACAATCAACCCTTTTTCTAAAATAAACTTCATCGCCCATATTAAGACGTCCATCTCCGAGTACAACGGTGATAAGCATTTTCTTCGTCTTCTCGCCCCGAGTAATAGTGTGTGGTCCCCTTTGCAGCAAATCCAACCTAGTCTTGTGGTTGCATCCGTCTCTTTCCAGAATCGCATTCTGATGTAGTTTTAAAACTTTGAATCAATTTTATTTTATTTTCCAAAACACCGTTAAAATGGCTTTGTTTTTCTACTATATGACAATAAAAAACTAGAAATCTTTTACTAATCCTTCTAGTTGAGTTAGGAAACACTCCAAACAATATAGATTTTGTTGGGGATAAAATTAATCGAAGACCTAATGTCACGTATCTCAAGACTCAGATGGGTCTTTTAGCTCTATTGGTGGAGTTATTCCTTGGGTCAAATATTAGAGCTATTTAGCATAAATAAGCAATCGCTCAAAATACTTAATGGGTAAGGCCACGAAAGAGTGATTTCCATTATGTATAGCGCACTGTTACCCAAAATGATATGGATCAGAATTTTAGTGGCTAGACGAAAATGTATAAATAGAGGTTGTTTAACGTTAAGCAATGCTCTCTATATGTATAAATACAGAGACACGGTGGCTGAGGCAGACACTAAACACATGCATTTTTCTTTTTGGAGTGCATTTGAAGGTGATCGTGTGAAGCGTGAGGAAGATACGATGTCTTTGTCTGATTTCGATATTATTGCGCGTGATGAACATTCCTATGAAACAATCGTATTGGGCCTCAAATTTTCGAGGGCCCATTTTAAGGAAACTGATAAATTATATGTTTAAGAAAATAATGTTTGTCGGTAGTGTAAAGAAGGTTTGTGGGCCCCATACAGTATAT